AGTATTATGCAAAGCACTGCTGATGATAATGGTGATGGTGATGATGATCATCATCATAACGGTGTCCTTAAATTAAGAAAAAAAGGGCACTTTAACCCCTTCACACCTAAGGGTAAAACAATTCTTAAAGCCTAAGTAAAATTTTAAAACTTTGACATGTGTTAGTAAAACTGTAGATATCATCTTAACTACTTTGTACATCCAGGTGGATTATACCTTTTTTTCAGGACAAATTGAGCTTTCATTTGGTGGTAAATGGTAATGGATATCTCCTGATTTTGGTTTTATTGTCAAAGGAAAACTGGCCCAAAATAGTTAAAAAATATATATTTTTTTTTAATTTAGCTGGGTTTCTTGTTACTACCATAACCTACCATCAAAGCACAACCCAAAATAAATTTTCCAGCTCATGACGATTGCAAGGATACCATATATGTGTATGTTATTTGTTGTTTGTACCTGTACTACAGCTGAGAAACAATAGTGTGCATTTTTATTTGTTTTGTTTTTTTACCTAAAACACACTGACACTGACAGTGGTACCCATTAAAAAAAATAAAATCCTGACATTTGACATTGACCTTTGACCCTGACCTTGACCCAAACACTAACCTGGGACTGAACTAGATCAAACCTTGATCTAGGTATTTTTTATTTATTTTTTATATTATTTTTTAATATTTATCTTTTTATAAAAAAAGTTTTTTTTTCTCTTGCAAGGAGAAAGAGAGATACAATGTATCTCTCTCCTCCATTTAGAGAGAAAAAAAAACAAGGGGGGCGGGCTTCACAGTGACTGATCATTGTGATATGCAATCAGAGGCTATCACAGCGATCATTTGACACGGAATCGGGAGTCCCGATCATTTGTGTTACGTCGGCTTCAAGGGGTTAAGGTAGGGGGAGGACTAAGCCATAAAATATACTAAATACCAAATAACAATCACACTTCAGGATTAGTTCCCCTTAACAAGCTGAATCAATGAGCTAAGAAAGACAGCTACTTTATGGTGAGAAGGCTGTGGCATAAGCTATGCTACTAAAAAAAGAGCACACAGTTCAAGTAGACCCTTGTTAAAGAAATTGTGACAACATAATACCCTATGCTGTACCTGTGCACATTTATAGTTTTATAGGCTGAACCTGAATCAACTAACTTGAATTCCAGTGCGTGCACCAGAAACACCTATGCAAGTTGAGCATTTAAGATGGCAAACTACAGTATAATAATAGGATGCAAATTTTTGTTTGTGATGGGTGACTTGTAGGCAGGTGCAGTTTCATTTCTCCACTGCGGGTGGCATTCAACTTCAGCGTCACTGCAGAGGAAGAGGAAGTCAAATGGAACATATTTCTCTATGGTTTTTTGGGTCACTGAGGAAGTAATTTGTTTGGATGCTGCCATTCCATGTGACTCTGACGACCATCTTAGGTCAGGCAGAGTCTATTTAAGACCCTGGCTTCCAGGCTTGGCATGCATTTTTGTGAGTGGACAGGGTAGGGACAGGTTATATGTCCATGAGGAAAAGTTAACAGCAGTAGGTTAAAAGGTTATGGATGAGTAGAAACAGGATAGGGACACATTATCCTTCCTAAGAATCCTTCCCCATTGGGCTCAGACTGGCCAGGCTGCATTCCACCCTCGAAGAAAGACGTTGTCACTGCAACAGAACCTGCTCTACATTTTTGGCACAGAACTGTGAGTGTTTCCAGCCGAGAGTCTTCCCCTGGGCTGTTTGTATCTTTGAGCCGTTCCTTCAATACATGCTTGTTAATTACAACTGGACTGTTCACTGCCCATGCACAGACTGGTGACTATATGAAAAAAGAAGGGAATAAAAATGAGCAATATATAATTTGGTGCTGATGGTGAACATGTGAAGCTGTCCTACCAATAAAAAAAAATAAAATCATGTTTTTTTCTTGGTATATGTCTGCTCGTTATTTTTGGAGCCTATGTCCCATGATGTCCTTTCCATGTCAACCTGCTCTCTCATCTTGTTAACCAGAAAATCATGAGCATTACCTAAAATGGAGTCAGAAGTGGCCTGTTATTGACTGAAAGTGACGGCAGCTCTGTCAGGCTCCGACTGACATCACAAGCTGGAATGTTAGGTCATGGTGCTATCTACATTCTGAAATATACAGTAATTTCTTAATTATATCTATTGAAAAGCAGAATTTGCAAACAATATGTATATAAAACATTCTTAATTTCCTGAGGGGTTTTGGAAAACATTACACAAAAGGTGCCAAGGCATGCCCTAAAGCACTTACCCAGGTACCCTATGTGCTGCTGCTGCCTTCACAATAACTGCAAACAGCAACTTTCCAAGAGCCAATATTTGTATAGAGCAAGACATGCTATCCTCACATGACAGTACCCAGACACCCTACACTGCATACACTGCATAGTGGGATGGGGCAGAGAGTGTGTACATTTGCACCCCAAACAGAGGATTTTAGAAACTAAACCTACCAGTGAGATAGACATGTATTCTGAAGGTATGGCTGTGGGGTATGCAGCAGAGTTACTTTGCATTTTGTTAGCATGTGATAGATTTGCTTTAAATTTTGACTACCCAAGAATATAGAAGAATCACATTACTATACCAAATCTGAATTTAGTTGTTAAGTTGTACTTACCTAAAATTTCTAAAAGGAGTGCTGATCTCAAAGCTTTTCCGGTCAGTGTTTTTTAAAGTGGCCATTGTCATATTGATATCAGTGATGACAATCCCAGCACTGTATTCCTAAGAAAAAAAAAAAACAATATAATCAAATATTCAGTGTTTAAATAGAATACTGTACATTCTACAAAAAGAACACTGTGCATTACACATAAATGAACAAATATATACAGGGGTTAGACAAAAAAATGGAAACTCTACAAGATTCTCAGGTGTAAAAGTGTCAACATGTTTCGCGTTGAAAATGGAAGTGATGCCATATTCTTTTTCTTCCGCTATGTGATGAGACACCTAGCTAACAGGAAGGAAGCCTCACTTTCGTCATTTGCTGCATGCCCTGCTAGTAATACAGAGTCATGTCAGAGCTTACTGAGCTTCAAATAGGGCAAGTTGTTGGTGCCCACTTAGCTGGTGCCTCTGTGACTGAAGTTGCCAATCTATTTGCCATGTTGCAAAGTACTTCTACTCCTCACCTCACCCCTTCAGTCTCCTCTTACTAACCTACTCAGTGACATATCGGCATGGATGTCACTCCACTTTCTCAAATTCAATCTTTCGAAAACTGAGCTCATACTATTCCCTCCAGCCCGTGCCCCCTCCCCTGATTTCTTCATTAAGATCAATAATACAACCATCAGTCCCTCCCCTCATGGCAGGGTACTAGGTGAAATCTTAGACTACTGTATGTCCTTTCAGCCCCAAATCCAATAACTGTCCAAATCTTGTAGACTTCACCTCCGCAACATCTCCAAGATACGCCCATTCTTAACCTCTGAAACTACTAAGCAACTTATTCACTCCCTTGTTATCTGTCGTCTTGACTATTGTATCTCCCTCCTCGATGGCCTTCCTCATCGCAGTCTATCCCCTCTTCAGTCTATCATGAATGCTGCTTCCAGACTCATCCGCCTTACTAACCGTTCCATATCTGACATACCTCTCTGCTAATCCTTCCACTGGCTTCCCATTGCCCAACGAATAAAATTCAAAACATTAACAATAACATATAAAACCATTTATAACTCTGTCCCCAATTACATCACCAATCTTGTCTCCAAATATCACCCAAACCGTCCTCTTCACTCCTCGCACAACCTCATGCTCTCTAGCTCCCTTGTTTCCTTCTCCCATGCTCGTCTCCAGGACTTCTCCAGAGCTTCCCCATCCTCTGGAACTCTCTACCCCAATCTATCTGACTATTGCCTACTCCACCCACTTTTAGGCGATCTCTGAAAACCTATTTCTTCAGGAAAGCCTATCCTGCCTTCAGCTAATAATTGAATCTTCTATTCCTCCTACCAGTCCATCCCCCACAGTTATTACCTTTTGTACCACCAGCCCCTCCCTCTTAGATTGTAAGCTCCAAGGAGCAGGGCCCTCCTAACCATCTTGTATTGAACTGCATTGTTGCTGTATTGTCTCAATTTATATTGTAAAGCGCTGAGCAAACTGTTGGTGCTATATAAATCCTGTATAATAATAATAATGATAATAATACAGTATCAGAAGTTATGATGGTATATACAGTTTCCGGGAAAACGTCATCTGATAAGCATAAACATGGTAGACATGGTCAATTAACCAAAAGAGACAAAAGGATATTGCACAGGATTGTGATCTGGAGTAAGAAAACAACTGCTGCAAAAGTGACTGCAGAGCTTAATCTCAAGTCTTCATAGGACTGACTGCATGTCTAAACTTGCATGGCTCAAAGTCTCCGCTCTAATTCATCCCAAAGGTGTTATATCAGGTTGAGGTCAGGACTCTATGCAGGCCAGTCAAGTCCCTCCACCCCAAAGTCACTCATCAATGTCTTTATGGACCTTACTTTGGGCACTGGTGCGCAGTCATGTTGGAACAGGAAGAGGCCATCCCCAAACTGTTCCCACAAAGTTGGGAGTAGTAACTTGTTCAAAATGTCTTGGTATGCTGACGCCTTAAGAGTTTCTTTCACTGGAACTAAGGGGCCAAGCCCAACCCCTGAAAAATAACCCTACACCATAATCCCTCCTCCACCAAACTTTACACTTGGCATAATGTAGTCAGCCAAGTACCGTTCTCCTAACCAAACCTAGACACGTCCATAGCATTTCCAGACAGAAAAGCGTGATTCATCACTCCAGAGAACACGTCTCCACCACATTAGAGTTCAGGGGTGGCGTGCTTTACACCACTGCATCCCACGCTTTGCATTGTACTTGGTGATGAAAGGCTTGGATGCAGCTGCTTGGCCATGGAAACCCATTCAATTCAGCTCTTTACGCACTGTTGTGCTAATCTGAAGGCCACACGAAGTTTAAAGATCTTTAGCTATTGACTCTGCAGACAGTTGGCAACTTCTGCACATTGTACGCTTCAGCATGCGCTAACCCTATTCTGCCATTTTTCTGTGGCCTACCACTTCGTGACCGAGTTGCTGTTATTCCCAGTTGCTTCCACTTTGTTATAATACCACTAGCATTTTACTGTGGAATATTTAGTAGCAAGGAAATTTCACAGATGGACTTATTGCACAGGTGACAACCTAACAGGGAACCACACTTGAATTAACTGAGCTCATGAGAGCGACCCATTCTTTCACAAATGTTTGTAGAAGCAATCTGCATGCCTAGTAGCTTGATATATTTATACACCTGTGGCCATGGATGTGATTGGAACACCTGAATCCAATGATTTGGAGGGGTGTCCCAATACTTTTGGCAATATAGTGTATATCTCACAGTGAGGATGTGATTGAAGTTGGTTCACTATATTTATTATTATTTTGTTAATTTTATGCAGATGTAGACATACAGTAGATGTAGGTGTAGATATATATCACTCCCCAAAAGCAATAAAATAATTGTTTTGAGAGAAAATACTGAAATCAGGTGTTTCAAGGATTGTGAACCTGTTTTAAGGGTCTGTGGACACCTCTTGGAAAGGACATTGTGGAAAAAAAAGAACAACTACATTGGGGGTTGATTGTCAAATCAAATGAATTAGTGTCATAAAGCAAAAGAAGTCCAATGGGGTCATCAAAAGGGAGCTTGCATCTCATGGAGTTAATGTGGATGCTTCCACTGTGCGTCACCAACAACTCCAGTGTGGTCGCAGAGCAAGACGCCCAGTTAAGAAGCAGCACCCACTATTGACACCCACTATTAAGAAGAAGTGGTTGTTATGGGCAAAGAAGCATAGAGACTGGACTTTGGAGCAGTGGAAGAAAGTAATATTCTCAGTCGAAACTTAGTTTTTTATATTCATTTTATACAGTTCAAACTTTGTTCGGCGCTCCAGCAAGCCCCTAAATACCCACCTAAAGTCATATTTTAGGAGTGGTTTTACTGTATATGGACCAGAAACACTTCACCTCATTAAAGCCATAATGGACAGTACTAAGAATGTAGGCGTTCTGACAGCAAACAGACACCGACCCCGATACTAGAGAGGTGATTTCCTGATGGAAACAGAGTGTTCTAGCAAGACCTAGCTCTCTGCCACAATTCCAAGCTAACTGAGGACTTTTTTTCCCCCAAAAAATTAAAAGTATTGGAATGGCCAGGAAATTCACCAAACCTAAAACAATACTAAAGGTTTTTTTTTTTTTTTTTTTTTTAATAGCAAACATATTTATAATTACCTGCTCTGTGTAGTGATTTTGCACAGAGCAGAATCTCCTGGAGGGCACCTGTCCATTCACACACGGATCTGTGGCCCTCTCTCCTCATTAGCTGACTGGCTGTGATTGACAGCAGCAGGAGCCAATAGCTCCTGCTTGCTGTCTCAGCCAATGAGGAGGCAGAGACCCTGGACAGCCAAGGCTGTTGTGCACATTACTGGATATCGATGGGGCTCAGGTAAGTATTGAGGGAGCTGGGGGCACTGCTTCTGCATAAAATGCATGAAGGTAAAAAATCTTGACCCTTTACAACCACTTTAAACCCAATAGAAAACCTGTGGGACATTATGAAGGCTTGCATAAGAAAGACGGATTGTGCCACAAAATTTAAAATATTAAAAATTGTTCTCCAAGTGTGCTGTTGTGATCCTGAAATGAAGGATTTGTGTAAAAGCTTACTGGAATCATTGACTTAGAGGGTAAGGGAGGTAATTAAAACTAACAGGAGGCCATATCAATTAAAGGATAAGTTCAGCTTTCATAACATGTTACATGTTATACCCATATTTAGGGTGTAACATGCAACATGTTATGAATGCATCAGTCCCCATTCCCCCTGCTTTGACAGCTAGTGGGGGATCTTCTCCCCCCTTGCTAGCTGTCAAATTTGAAAACAAATGTGGCCGTGCAAGTCTCTGCCCACCCGGCCGCATCACTCATTCACTTTGTTTTGTGAATGAGAAACTACAAGTCCTGACAGCCTTAGCAGCTGTCGTCTTGTAGTTCACAATGTAGTTAATTGAGTCTTCTTGTCAGTATATCTGCTTGCTAGTACATCCCATACAGAACTGCACGAGACCTGCATAGCACCAGCGATCTGCTGATCACTGGTACAATGGTTTACACGCTCCAGCAACCAAAAATAATAAATGCACATTTTATTAACTGCAAAAAAAATGTGCCTGTATTATTTTTTGTATAAAGGTGAATTTATCCTTTAATGACAGATAGTAAATGAATTAGTTTTGTAAACCTGAAATTGTGTCATTGTAATGTCCTAATGTGTCAGTGTAATGTTTGTCCTAATTAATTTACACAATACTGTACATTCAAATCAGTCCCTGCCCTTAAAGATCTTACTCTCTAGGTACTAGGTACATTTTTTGCAGATTTATACATCAAACTGTATAAACGTATTAAACCCAAAGTTGGATGCCTTATGCTGAACTTCAGGCTGTTAAAGTCTGGGCACCCCTAAAACTGAGTAAAAAATATTGTGGTATCATTATTCTGTTAAAATTTGCCTGTCTGTGACACAAGTTACACTCAAATCTTTTGTCTGTAGGATCATGATATGCCCAGACCAGAAACATCTTGAAATCCATTCCAACAGACAACTTGAATAAATAATTCATTTCAAAAGAGCTTTTGTTAAGCTCAGAAGTTGCCATTAACAATTCTGAAAAAGCATTACTGAGAAGAGTACTGATAACAAGAGATCTACTAACGATAATGTAGTTGCAATAGCCAAGGAGAAATATACTGTAACATGGGAGTGAATGAGTAGCTTGGTGGTTTCATTGGTTAGGGTGTATTTCAGAGATGTTACAGAGGTGAAGTCTACAAGATTTGGACAGTAAGTGGATTTGGGAATGAAAGGATGGATTAGAGTCCTGGAGTACACCTAGTACCCTGACATGATGGGAGGGACTGATAGTTACGTTATTGATCTTGATGGAAAAGTCAGAGAGGAGGGCACGGGTCTGTGAGGAATATCATGAGCTTCATTTTAGAAAGGTTTCGTTTGAGGGAGTGATGTGACATCCATACTGATATGTCAGTTAGTAGGTTAATAATGCACTAGAAGACTAAAAGAGTGAGGTGAGGAATACAGAGATAGATTTGGGTGTCATCAGCATATAGATGGTATTGGAAGCCAAGGTAGGTTATCAAGTGACCAAGATATGAGTTGTAGATAGAGAAGAGAAGGGGTCCAAGGACAGAGCATTGGGGGAGGGGGGCTTCAGAAAGAAAAAGTGGAGAAGAGAAGCCAGAAGACAGAATTGTAGGCAACATTGAAGGAACAGTGTTATAAGTTAGGGGAAAGCCAAGAAAGACCAGTCTTGGAGTCCAAGGGAGTGGAGTTTATTGAGGAGGAGCATGTGGTCAACAGTATCAAAGGCAGCAGAAAGATCTAGTAGTAAGAGTATGAAGCAGTGGCCATTGGTTTTAGCAGTTAGTAAATCAGTTCAGAGTGCTGCGAGCAAAAGCCAGACTGTTAAGAGTCAAGTGGGTTGTTGTCAGTGAGGTAGAAGCTCAAACAGTTGTAAAGTAAGCATTTTAAAAGTTTAGAAATGAGAGCAAGAAGATGGCTCTTAAGTTGTTCAGGCTGTTTGGGTCCAGAGAGGGATTTTTAACCACCTCCCACTCGCCATATAGTCCAATGACGGGCACAAGGTGGTTCTCTCATTCTGAGGGGACGTCATATGATGTCCTCCCATTCTCACCGTGCATGCGCAGCTCAGGGAGCGCTCAGGGAGCACGCAGCGCGGCGATCGGTGGTGCGCTATGTCCCTCAAAGCTGTCAGCTCGGTCATGTGATCAGCTGTGTCCAATCACAGCTGATCACATGTAAACATGAAAATGCCGGTTATAGGCATTTCTCTCCTCTCGAGCTGTCATGCTGACAGCTCGAGAGGAGAGGAGAGGAGAGCCGGTAATCGGCTTTCCGCGGAGGGGACATGTACACTGATCATCAGGGCACTGATGATCAGTGTGCCCTGATGATCAGTGTAGCCCCAGCAGTACCACCTGTCAAAGTCCATCAGTGCCAGCTGTCAGTGCCGATCAGTGCCATGTGCCAGTGCCTATCAGTGCCACATCAATGCCACATATCAGTGCATACCAGTGCACATCAATGCCACATATTAGTGCCCATCTGAGCTGCCTTTCAGTGTCATCCATCAGTGCCAGTCAGTGCCACCTATCAATGCCAATCAGTGCCAACTATCAGTGCTGCCAATTAGTGCCACCTATCAGAGCCAGTCAGTGCCGCCTATCAGTGCCAGTCAGTGCTGCCTATCAGTGTGAATCAGTGCCACCTATCAGTGGCAGTCAGTGCCGCCTAACAGTGCCAGTCAGTGCTGCCTAACAGTGCCAGCCAGTGCCGCCTATCAGTGCCAGTCAGTGCAGCCTAACAGTGCCATATATCAGTGCCATGTATCAGTGCTGCCTTGCAGTGTCCATCAGTGATGCCTGTCAATGCCCATCAGTGCCACCTACCAGTGCCTCCTCATCAGTACCCATCAGTACCACCTATCAGTGTCCATCAGTGCAGCCTATCAGTGCCCATCACTGCAGCCCCATTAGCGCACATCAGTGAAGGAGAAAAATTACTTATTTACAAAATTTCATAAGAAAAACTAAGAAAAAAACTTTTTTAAAAAAAATTTTCAGTGGTTTTTGGTTTGTTTAAGAAAAAATAAAAAACCCCAAGGTGAATAAATACCACCAAAAGAAAGCTCTATCTGTCACAAAAAAATGATAAAAATGTCATATGGGTACAGTGTTGCATGACCGCGCAATTGTCATTCAAAGTGCGACAGCGCTGAAAGCTGGAAATTGGCCTGGGCAGGAAGGGGGTATAAGTGCCCAGTAGGCTAGTGGTTAAGTATGGGGTGACCAGTGCATGCTTTAGAGGGGAGGGTAATGTGCCAGTAGAAGGGAGAGGTTACAAAGGTGGGTGAAGGAGCATAGGACAGAGCAAGAGAGTGACCATAGTAGATGGGAGAGAACAGGGTCCAGGGTACAAGTTGTTAGGTGGGCATCTGAGAAAGGTTTAATAACCTCCTCTGTAAGTAGCAGGACCAAAAAAAGGAAAATATTGACTTATACAGGGCATGTTAAGTTGGGTATGCTGTTTTCCCTTTTTCTGTCCAATCACTGTGTGGGATGGGGATAAGACCTGTAAGTGTTACTTCATTGCAGAAAAAATCATGTCTTCCACGATGCCTGTGAGAGAATTAATTAAGTCTCTGGACTAGAAACACAAATAGAAACAAAACGTGTAGAAATACAAATTCTTTGACAAGTAAACTAGCTCCCTTATATGTATTTTCATCTTCACATTTACCTATTTGCCTGCATCTTAAATCAGTAGCTATCTAATAATCAATCCATTAAAAAGTTAAAGTAGTTAAAACCCTATCAACCATCAGTCAGTCCATCTGGTACCTGCTGTATATACTGTTGTACAAAACTCATAATCCTCATAAAATGGATGTCGCACAGAAAATTGGCTAATATACTGTAATTGCTCTTTTTCAGAGATGCTGCTTTGCAAGACTTAGATCCTTATCTTATTCCATAGTATGTGACTGCAAGTATAGAGTACCCATCACTGACAGAATTACATTTGTATCTGCTTGCTGAATAGATTTTATTTTTTTTCCACTTCATAACAACTTACATGAGTGAACTACTTCACAAAACAGGTGAACTGAGAAACAGTTTTTTTTTTTATTTCCTATGGATTTGTACATCCACAGAGAGACATACAATGCACAAAGTATTGCTTGAATTACTGAAATGCACGATTCTCTGCATATCACATAGGCTGAAAAATAAGGAAAGCTGTGTTTCTCCAAATACCAGCACTTACCACAAATTAAAATAGTTTGCTTTTTTTCCATTGTCTTCCATGCTACACCCTGTAATAGTTTTTGTTCAGCAGGAGATAAAAGGATTGCCCACGCTGATACATAAAACACCACCGTAAGCAAATTTTCTTTTTATTTAGCAATCATACATCCGTCTTCAGCATCAGTTTCATGGTGGGCTTGGTTACGTGATTGCATAGAAACATATTTTCTGAACCTTGGCCCTAACCAGTTTTTTTTCTATCTTAAGCTTAAAATAGAATGGAGAACAGAGATCAATCCAGTACAAACCACTGTCCCTTGAAATGTGAGGTACAAGCAAACCTCACACGGATGAGCCCAGCATGTATCTAGAGGCCAGTCAAAAAAGACTTCAGTAGTTTAAGAATGGCTTTTCTGATTAGATTATATCACCCTATTATTTCCTCCTCAGAAAGATTAAACAGGCTGACCTAAAAAAAAACTGGTTTGAGATTCTTTCCAGAGTCTTACACTCCAGCATTAAGCAGAAAGAAGCAGCCTGACAGCCTGAAAAAGATTGAATGCCTGAGCCCAGTGTTATTGTCCCAGCAGAGGGATAATACCAGTCTTAACAAGGAGCTAGCGATTTTTATCTAAACTGTGATTACACCAATTTAACATGAAAGAACAGTACGGTATGCAATATAGGAATTAATTGCTACTGCTTCTGTAAAGTTTAGCTGCATTGTAAAACTAGTGATAAAGAGTTGCTAATAAATTGCTTACCCATTTTATTTATTTATTTATTTGTTCATATTTCTGCAAGAGAAAATGAGTCACTTTTGCCTTTGTTATTAAAGGAAAAAAAGTTGTGAATCCCTGCTGCTGGTTGGTTTCCAACTCTTTGTGTAATTAAATGTTCTTTGGAAGAAATGCACAGACTTTCAAAGGGGACTACATATAAAAGCTAGAAACATATGGGAGCATTTTTCAGCCTGGATTTACTGGTTACTGATAGTTATCGGTGAATGTTGCAGAAACCAAAAGTGGGTGCACGCAAATTAAGGAATCAGAAATTGAATTGAGCAAAGCATAAAGATAAATTTTTAACTTATATTTTGCATCCTTTGTGATTATATTTCCTGAGCTTCAAAATGTACATATATGGCCCACATACAGTATCCCTAAGTTATGTGTAGCCCTTTTTGGGGAAGGGATCGGGCTTGAGGAATGGCCCTCCCAAAACAGAATCTTGTGTTAAACCTGTAGGTAAGAGTTAAGAGAACCAGAACTTTTGCTAAGTGGAAGAGTGGTTTTGATAATACAGTTAGCAGTGCCTCCACCCATGACAGAGGGGATTCCTTTCCTGGGAAATTAATCAGTAATCTAAACAGAGTAATTGGGGGCAGAACTACTGTAGCCCAAAGATAACCATAAGTATATAGATACACAGCAATATGGAAATAATAAAAGCTTTATATAAGAAGAGATTAACCCCTTGGTGCCGGCCCTTTTAGGGTTTCAGAACCCAGGAGGCGGGGTGGGGTTTTTGGGGTCATGTGACTGCCGTGATTTGCCATCACAGCGGTCACATGATCAGGAAAGGTCCTGATCGAAAGAGGAGATCGAGACCTTTCCGTGAGTACCGGACATGTGTGCTGGGAGCGTGCAGGGCACACGCTCTCAGCACAGACGTTTTTCTCAATTGTACGCAAATGTGCGGCCACTCGGCGTCAAGGCCCAGATGCCGGTAGGCCACACATTTGCGTGCGGCCGGCGTGAAGAGGTTAATAACAATACATACATCCAATGTACAAACAGGTGCTATCAGGGCCCAATAGGAGTCCTGGGGAAAGTGTGCACATACCTGGGTATATATACTTATTGATAGAGATACCCAGGTATATATATTTATTGATAGAGATACCTCCAGATGAATGTTGCAACGAAGTCCAGGTGCAGGGGTCTCTAAGGATAATGAGGCATCTCGGGTGTGGCACTGGAACTCAGAGTCAGCCTATCTACTCTTCTCTTTAGTCCCTCCTTAGTAGTTTCTAATGTGACATGCTGACATGCAACCAGACCTCTAATTACCAGAAGTGGCCATTAGATGCCTAAGCTGGCTCTAGCCTATGCTGACTATGGAGTCCTAAGCTAAACCAAGCTATACTTTTAGTTAGGAGGTATGGGATTTAGTAGAATAACAAGGCCTGCATATCACCTATACTGCAATAAACAAGTTTATCTGCTAATATACTGGAAGGTGACCACTATATACATACAAAAGCACATGCCTAGCTATCTGGCACTGTGCATGTGAGATAATAACAACATGACAGAGATACTCTGTCTGTCACAAGGATTCAGATACACATTCAGCAGTTGTAGTTAAATTGTTAGAACATAGGAATACATAATAGCATATATATAGCATAATAGAATACATAATAGCTTAATAGCCCCTTCTGGATTGAGTTTACCAGCAGTGACAGGACATGTGGCTGAGAATTTCTCTCTCTCTCTCTTCACTTCCTCCTTCTGGTTTTCAAAGACCCTCTCTGAGACAGGAAGTGTTAATACATAATTATATATAACACTGTGATATTAGATGCTAACAGTAGGGGGCAGCGGATCCCTACATATGTAAGCCAGGGACACACTCTCGTTAATGGTGTATGAGTCTGCACCGCGGTATACTCTATTGATTCCATTTTTCATTTAACTGTACTAATGGACACCATTCTGTTTCTAATTATCCTGAAGGACTTTGTCTAGCTCTGCTCACTTTATACTCTCTAGCGATACAGACCAAACTGAGCATGTGCCAAGTGTCTCCACATGATACGTCTTATCAGGAGATAAGAGGGGGGCACTGGAAGAAGTGGAGGATCAGAGAAGTCAGGATCAAACAGCCTTTTTACACAATGCAGAGGATAAACCCATTAGGTTTCACAGTGTGTATAATAACCATGATTTAATGCATATACAGACTGATTTTACTGTTGTGGGTTTAGTAACACTTTAAGACAGGAGAGCAATTGCCAGTGTGCCATCACCCCATAACTACCAGACAGAGTGTGTTGTCAGCCCATAACAAAAAGTACCTGAGCAAAGACCTTAATGACAGAATCACCAGATGTTGTTTTAAGGAAGCTCTAGCTTTAAAAAAAAAAACAAAACATAAAATGACGGTTGTTTAGATTTTGATGATTGGGATTTTTATCTACTGAAAAGAAAAATTACGATTAAAATAAAAAATTACATATACAACGCAGATGACATAGCAGTTTTTGCTTTCTGAGCCCCCCACCCACCTTTCCCCCTTAATACCTGTTGATCATGCAGGGAGATCTGATATTTTTAATTTCCTTTTCACACATAAA